CAATGCTTGCTCATTACTGTTCTTCTTTAATCCACCACCGTATCCCTACTTGCCAAGGCTTTTTCAGTTAACTTATTATACATTGTACTTAATAACTAAAAAAAGGACACTTTATAGGATATTTTACACCTATTTTCAGTAACTCAATGCCCCATTCAATAGGTATTTTTTACACATTTTGATAGGTATCCTACTTTGGCTACTAGGAATCATTTCAAGTACTTTAAGTGCAAAATGAAAGTGGCAAACAAAACCAACCTTAACTTGGAAAATAGAGAAATGAGAGATAAAATCATGGGTATACTGTATAAACACACTTATGACTAGAATGAGTGAATGGGTATACTGTATAAACACACATATGACTAGAATGAGTGAATTAACCCTACCTTTCATTTTTTGTCAGAAAATAAATAGTTTTAAAATGTGTTTAGATGTTTAAGGAGATTAAAATAAAAGTAGGTGAAAAAAGTTAGATAAAACTGAACTTCCTCAAATTAGTGAGGTTTTAATAAATAACCAGACATTGACTGAGAAATTGGAATTTTTTTCAGGTAATCGGTTTTTAAAAATAGAAACTCAGTATCAGAAACAACATGTGGAAAAATAAATGCAAAAAGTATAAAAATGTGCAGTAAGTATTCCAAAGAAAACACAACAGGTAAAATGCAAAAACAGAGATTCACATTTCTTCTGGAAAATCAACATTTTCTTCAAATTATGCGTCGAAATAATATTGTGAAAAAGAGTTGAGGAAAAAAGGATGTTCGATACAAAAACGAAGGGGTATTCTAAATTTAAATCATACTCTAAAATATAAAACTATAAGCGTAACACATAATGCTGTGCGCATCCGCTGCCCCCTCCACTCCATGGCTCCTGTCCCATTCTCCATACCTCTGGTGCTCATGTAGGGTGGCATTTCCCTTCCCTGCGCATCCTGCACATACTCAGTCTCCTACCCCTCCATGCACAGGAATCTTACTCCATCCCTGCTTTCCCGTCTGTCTTTTTTCCACTTTTGGGCCGGGTAGGTGAAGATTGCATTCAGTACCTTGACCCTTTTCTTTCTTTTCGAAGTTTAGCTTGGTTTTTTCTTTCCTTCATTTTCTTTACTTGGTTTACTTACTCAGTGATTTTGAGAGCATTGTTCTTCATGAGGATTTTTTTTCTTTTTCACACTTCAAATATCCTTGAGGGGATTAATCTCAATTTTTTTCTTCCTCATCATAAAGTATTATTATCTTAAACTTACTCAATGACTATTTAATAATTAATTCATTTCATCAATACCATCAAAACACTTTTGCTATTGAAAACTTGAACATGAAAGATATGAAGCACCTCAGGAGATTGGGCCGCAGCCCCTCAGTTGATAGAATAACAAGAAAATCTTTGAAAAATAGTCAAACCCTGGACAATGCTGCACCCAGTGCCAAATGCCCAGTAAAAAATGGCAGGAGTCCTGGTATTTTTGAGTTGAAGAAATTAATTAGTGAATTAGGTGTTCTAACTCTCAAAATATTTTAAACATCAAATGGTAAAAAAAGGTGTTACCAGGAACAATTATTACATTATGGTAAAAAAAAATTAGATAACATCATTAGAGATAAAATTTCAACAATGTCCGACAGTTCGTTCCTTTGCCAGCGAACTTTATAAATTTTCAATCAAAAACAATCATGGAAATTTGACATCCTTGAACGAGTAAAGATTTACTACAACCTTCCCCTTAAAATCAACAACTAAATGATAAACTAAATACTAGGGGTCCGCGAAGCTCCGCATTTGGCGAAGCGAAGCGCGTGGTCGAAAAGAGCGAAGCAAAGCGAAGATTTCACGGTTACAAACGCGGTAATTCCAATTTTCGCGATCTTTCGGAATCGATGCCGAATGCTGACGATTGATGTATAATGTGTCCGCGTAAATCGGTTCTTTGCGCATGCGCTTGCGGCCGCTCCGCGATATTCACATAGAGTACAGTTGAGTCACACTGTACTGGAGCGCCGATGAAGTCAATCCATGAATGGGCCATTCCGAGCCCCTTGTTCTCCGGAAAGTGGGAACTGTTTGGCATCTTTTTTGACACAGCGGCTCATGGGAGAATCGCGGGCTGCAAGTGGTTTTCGGGATTTATTCATTTAAATCAATCATTATTTCCGCGAATTTTGGCAAATCGTGTTCACCAAAGTTATGACAAATTAAAAAATGTACAACATTCCTGGTTTTTATGAAATCAATTTTCATAAGTAGGTATTTTGTACTGAACTCAAACTGTAGGATCATTTCTAACTAATCAAATGTTCATTTTATTTGTTCTTATGAGACTTTTCTACTTTGTGTTCTTGAATAAAAATAATGGGTGGGATTTGAAAGCTTCGCCACAAAAAGCTTTCATTCTGAGTGCCTTTTCGTGTGGTCTCTAGATAGGTTGTGTAGTGCTTGAATGACTGCTTGATTTGGTAGTGGTTGTTTTGGTGTTGCATGATTCAAAACCCGATCCCACCTATAAGTAGTAAGTCTCTCTCGCCTCATTTGTGAGTTAAAGCTTATGAAACCAGATCTCAGCGGTTCGCGCCCTAACAAGCCGAAACGCGAGCAATTTATGAAAATATCAAAGCACAACCCTGACTCCCTGCTACCATCAAACCCCTATCCCACTAATACACGCTTTGCACCATCTAACTTGCTATCTAAACATATCAAGCACAACCCTGACTCTCTGCTACCGTTAAACTCCTATCGTAACAAATGCACGCTCTTGCACTGTCTAAGTTAGCTACTAAATTATTAATTATTTATCTTTTTTTTATTTATTTATTTATTTATTTTTTCTTCTATATTGCTAGTTGCTACTTTTGCTTTATGTTAGTTTCTTACTTGGGTTGCTGCACTGCTTGCGGTCCAAGCCGCCATCCCCTGTTTTTTTTTCTTGCCAAGCTTGTAGTGACTAATAGATGCGCTTTCTCTGTCAGGAGGTTGTTTGCACAGTGGTACTGGGTAAAAGCTTAGAAGCTTCTGGAGTGTACATAAAGTTAAAGGAGGATTTACTGCCTTTAGGCTGAACAAGAACTGAAAGGAAAGTGTGTGTGTTTAGCGGAAAGCGTCAGCAATAATGAGAGAACTAGTATCAGTGACTGCAGGAGGTGTGCACGTCGGAAAAATGCCTGGGGATGGAAGTTGCCTTTTCAGAGCAATACTACATCAAATGGAGACGGTTTGCCTAGAAAGAGTAGCTGAAGGAGGCTTGACTCGTCTAGGAAGCCAAGAAATCAGAGCTCGCATTTTCATTCAAAGGCTAGGCCTTGTCGCTAATTGCTATGATGGATCCGAAACCATTCAGGCCTTTGCCAATTGTTTTGTGCCAAGTTCATATAGTTAATGAAAAAAGCGCGTAATAGAGGTTGCTTGCGTAGTATACCAAGAATGTTTAATCATGTTAAGACAATGAGACATGAATGCATAGTATCCAAGAATGCATCAAGCATGTTACCAATTTTATATAGCACGGGGTGCATGGGTGGAGCCGCGTGTAAACTTGGGCTTGAGGTGGGTTTATCTGGTATAAAGAGACCAAAGCTGTCCAAACAGTCGTACAGGTAACATGCACAAGACATGCAAATGGTTAATGCTGAAAGCGACGCAGCTTCCATTGCTTTCTGACAACAGATCTGGATTGATAAACTTTCCCTCTTGAATCTCCCATGCAGAAGGAAACAGCATTAGCGGTTCTCTGCACCCATTCAATTTCCCTTATCCTAGATTTTGTCCTCTGTGCGTTTCAGCAATACCTAGTCCAACCGTTCCCACTGAAATATAAACATAACGAGCTTTGGCAAACAGCTGGGGCGGTTGGTCTCTATTCTTCTCTTCTCTTCTTAAAATTTTTTGAAAAGTTTAAATCGATGATTTTCAAATTAAATTTACCTTAATTTTGTAGGTTTTGCGATGTTTCAAATTAAAATAGATAAAAAAAAAATTAATAGGAAAATGAAAAAAGTAAAAACATTTTTCATTTTTCATTTTTTCATAATTCCGTGATAATTAAAGTAAAACCGATGACAAATTTAAAAAAAAATCTTAGATCTGCTGGCATCTCAATAAAAATGTATTCTTAAAATTTAGGGGAAAAGGAGGAAAATGTGATGAATGTATTCTTCACGTGTTCAATGAAATTTACCACCGCCGCCGCACGCTGAGTCGCGACTCGCTCGAGTGACCGCCACGAAATTCCGCGGGTTGCATACAGCGTATTTAAAGGGGTTTTTTTGTGTGCTTCGCTTCGCTTTGAAAAACGCCGCTTCGCGGACCCCTACTAAATATGACATATTGTTTATTCTATACCTATGCAGGAACAACTTATGTTTCAGGAAAAATTAAAGAAATCGAACTAATAAATGATTCAACATCTGACAGACGAAAGCCCAAACAAATTGGCCCACTGCCCAAAAATAAGAGAATCATAGACAATTTTTGGGAGGGAACAAAATTAAAGTGGAAAGAACAATACAATGGCTTGCATACGCATAAGCTACTGGTAGTGCACAAGGTCAAAGAGAAGGACCCTCATTACGATGCACAACTTTTCATTGAGGAACCCAACAAAAACTGCAAAATGGATGGTATTCATCGCAGAAAATAATTACAAGTTGATCGGGCAGAGGCTCAAATTTTTCTGATTATGCTTCCCGGCAGTTTCACCTGTTTCATTAAATATGTGCGCATGACCTAATAAATGTGGTAATTACTAGGCTGAAATAATTTAATTTGTTGCGTTATTTTATAAGGTAAACTCGGTCCTTCTGACCTGTAACTGACTCTGTGCAACATCTACTCTTTTGGTTCTCTCAAACCTGGTGCACATGCTCCTTGATCTATCGAACCGATGTACGAGTCATCATAGGATGGGTATGCTTAGACTCCCAACCCATGGAGTGATTGTACCTATACCCGGAAAAGAACTACTCACAAAGGAATTCAATAAAAAAAAACTTTGGAACTTGGTACTTGATTAATTTTGATTTAACCCATTTGCACAGTTTTCACTATAGCATAAATACATCCAACTAAATAAAGGGCTTGTTGTAAACTTTTCCTGGAGCAGAAATACAAGTTGTTTCTTATCGAAAATGGCTCAAAAATAATGATAAGCGCATTGGCAAAGTCTGAAATGGACTCCTATCGAAAATGGCTCAAAAATAACGATGAGGGCATTGGCAAAGTCTGAAATGCACTCCCAACTTCACAATCTGCATGAGTGCTGCATGCGTTTTTTTTAGCTTCCCGCTTCAAAGACAATACTACGGCACAGGTGAAAAATCCGTGAGAGAATTGTTCCATTCAACCCCTGCGCACTAGGAAGCTACACAATTTTCAACGTGGCCGACGCCAATCCACTAAAACGCATCATGTGATGGGCACTAGGTTGCTTTGCAATATTCCACATGGCCGACTCTTCCGCGGAGCACAAGGTCATTCAAGGCGGATCTTTATTTTATTAATGAGCGGAAAATGTGAATGTAAACACGCCCCTTGCTACCCCAGTGGCAGAGGTAACAAAATCGTTTGATTCTTGCAACTAACAGATTGACGTGCAGGTTTCTACTCTTCCACCTAGGGAGCTATCATTGTTGGGACTAGTTGCAATTAAGTTGAAACATGTTTCAACTTTAAAGTATTGCTGGTTGCTTCCCTTTCAATTTTATGGAGTGCAAATATATTGCAAATTGTTGGTACAAAGTTGAAAGAAGTTCCAACTGCTTGCCAGTGCTGCCATGATCTATACTAAAAACGTGAACATTCAAGAATTCTAACGCTGGACAATTTCGGAAAACTTGGCACGCCGTTGAAAATTCAAATTTTTCAGCATTTTGGCAACGTTGGTAAAATTAAGAATTTCCGAGATTTCCCGCATTGATGTGTTTATCAAAACTTTTCAAGAATCTGGTAATATTGGTAAAAATTCACTCTTTTCGATAATTTTGGCACCATTGGTAAAAATTTCTATTCGGTGTTTCACAACGTTGAAAAAATTCATTGTTTCCGGGAATTCTGCCCAGAAGTTGCATATCCCGACTTTTTGAGAATTTTGGCGACGTCCGTTAAATTCGAAACTTTCACGTTATATCAACCCTACTCGAGAATTGTGGGCAAGTTACGGTAAAATTCGCGAAATTTGATAACTTTGACGAAATTTTTTAACATTTCTAACCATCCTGGCAACGTCGAAAAGTTGCAAGATTCATGCAATACAATTGCTGTAACTTGCAACTTTTCTTCCGACTAGATCGCCGAAAATTGGCACTTATCAACCAAAAGTTGACAGAGAATTGCAACTTGGTTTCATCTTTTAACCAATATTGTTTCAACTTCTTGCAACTTTTACATTGAAAAATGCTACTCGGGCAACAGGTGGTTAGAATCTTGTCCCATCACATGGTGAGTTTTAGTGGATTAGCGTCAGCCATGTTGAATATTGTGTAGTATCCTAGTGCACAGGGATTGCATGGAAAAACTTCTCTAACGAAACATTCACCTGTGCTGTAGTATCGTGTTTGAAGCGGGAAGCTCAAAAAAACGCATATTTCTTGCGCAGATTGTGAAGTCAGGAATGCATTTCAGACTTTACCAAGGCGCTCATCATTATTTTGGAGCCATTTTTGATAAAAAACAACTCTTATTCATGCTCTAGCAAAAGTTTACAACAGGCCGATTGGTACTAATTGCGGTAAATTACACTTGCTAAAGATCCTTGACTGATATAAAATAAACAACTGTGATCTATGGGCCCAGAATCATGGTTACAGGGTGATCAATTGATTATTATGTCATTTGGTCCAAAATACATATTCTTCTTGACGAAGATTGCGGGCTGAAAATAGTTAAAAGTATTTTCACTTCTTCAAACATTGCAACTTCTTTTAAAATATGCAAAATTTCGGATAGTATTCATGATTTCCTGAATAATTTGTGAGGGAAGACCGGAAGTAAGATGAACATACTTGTAGAGGCACGGGGACTTGTCTGCTGTCCAAAGCCTCCCTGAAATATTTGCCTAAAAAATAAACTTGGATCTTCCCTCATCATAGCCTACAGGGGAATGGATAAATAAGTATGAGTTGAAACAAACTTAAAATTTAAAAATTGAATTCAATGAAATGCCATAAAAAATTTGAAAAACACTTCTTATATGAGTCCATTGGAACAGGAAGCTTTGATAAAATTGATGACATTGATATATGAAAAAGATTTGAAAAATTGATAAGATGGTAATATTTTAAGGTAATACTTTCCCGAAATGAATAATGTATGAATAATGAACCAATTACGTATGAGAATGATATTCGAAATAAAACTTTAGCTGGGGGCAGTGTGTGTCCTATAAAGAGTACCCATCAAGAGGTGTCGATACTTACATAACTTAATTTATGTGTATATACACCATTTGGCTTTTTTGCGGGTTTTAAGGACTTATATATATTGAATAATTTGACAATATTTAGAATTATTCTTTGTAGCACCTGAACTGTTTCTTTAACAAGCAAAAAAAAATAAAAGCAACGCCCAAAACTCAAATTTTGGAAAGCAGGAGCGCCAAGTGGGGGACAGTTTTGACAAAATACATATGAAGTACCAAATAAAGGAGTATTCAGGACAAAGGAGGTTGCAGGGGAAAAATGGGGAGAGGGGGCCTACCCTCTCTTCCCCTCGGAGACACAGCATTCACACATTATTGAGAACCATGAAGCAAGGTTCGCCAAAGACATTTTTAGTTCCAGGGGGGGATAAAAATAATTTAGGTGAATAACAAAAACCATGACTGGATTTACATTGTTGCTAAACTGCTAATCTTGATGTGAGAAAAATTAAATTCCATTGACACGAATACTGAGATATGTCTACAAAATCATGGAGGTACAGCTCATAAGAAAAATCAAACACCAATCCTAACAGGTGCCCCTACAACTGTGGAGCTTCCGTGCCTCCCATTTTGCTTTGGTGAGTTCCATTTTATTTCATTGTGTTTTGCTCATAAATATCCGGAGGGTGAAAGTCTCCATAATAAGTGGAGAAATCAATTACCACACTTACTTAGATGTCCACGAAACAACCTGGGAAACCTGTGAGATCTTTGAAAAACGCGATCACACCCTAATGCCCGTAAAATCATGGGAGACTTCACGGAGCTTAAACATGCTCATACTTTAAAAAAACCACACTCACCAGCGTCTGAAAAACTGCAAGAACACTCCTAGTGCTGCCACGAAGGGCTCAAAAAAAAAAATAGAAGAATTGACTAGTGATGAGCCGGCAAAAGGGCTTTGACTCAATTGAGAGAGGATGCTGATTCTGGGATTCGATTGACATCAATACCATCATCTTCTCCCCAATGATAGGCTGGAGGTCCGTTTGTGAAACAGTATTTTTGCTCAAGGGGAGAGGTTTTCTCAACCCAATAGGTAAGGTAGAAGTTGCACATTTCGTCCATACTTGTTTGTCTAAAAAACACGGGGGAAAACAAAAAAAAACATTGAATAACATGAAAAGGATCTAATTTATTTTGGTATCTGTTAGAGGAGTGAAGATCAGAATCTCCCATCTTGAAACATCCATTTTTCGAGCGTGAACTTTAATATTTCTTTCTGATAAGATATTTAAAGTTGTGCAGTCATTTGCAAAATTGGATAGATAGGCAATTTCTAGAAAACTTTGGATTCAATGAGCGTTTAATTGGTGAAATGGGATTTGACATTTTTCGTAATATCTCTTTCAAAAAATTGTTACCATAAATATCCAGGTCGACAACTTTCTTCGCAATGTTGTTGCGTTCTTACTGAGTAGAGTTACAGGGTTAAAAATTACTGGAAAATTCCAGAGGACGTCCCCAAAAATTGCTGCAGGAAGGCAAATTTCTCACGTGGGATAAGAACTGGAACGGGAGGGGAGAACCCAAAGGAACCAACAATTGATGGCAAAATTCCAACCTAAACCAATGTTTCCAGTTTTCTCACCACCAGAACCAAAACTAGATCTGAAGTTTCAGGTGTGAGAATCAAAAATAGAGCCAAGTCCATGTCGGTTACCAGAAGTTCTGGCAGATGAGTGTCACTCCATCCACATAGTGCAATACGGAACCGCTTATTCAAACTCATTTTAGAAACAACAAATGTTCTGGTTGTTTCCCTATGCAGATAGAGGATTTTATAGATGAGCGAGAAAGAGAAGTCCCTAGTTGCTAAATGTTTTCCATTTAATGAAAAAAAAAAAAAAAAATTCAAGTGTCGAAAATCTCTACAGGAAGCGATTACATGAAAAACAGTAGCTCAATGATGCTGGAGATCAGTATCAATTCATCAAGACTTGCATCCGCGTTGTGGCTAGAGATGCCTTTGGGGTGCGCGAAAAGATCAGCACTGGATGCAAACCTTACTGGTGGGACAAAGAGATTGAGGAAAAGATCGATGCAAAGAGGCTAACATATTACTCCTCCCTCCAATCAAAGAATAATGAGGATAAAATTGCCTACGAACTTACGGAAGCAAAGGTAGGAAGACGCATTACAAAAAAGAAACATGAGTCTTGTGAAAACAACTGCTCCAGGATTAACACGTGTGAGGGTCATCCCAAAAGTCTTGCACGTTTTGCTCTCATTCCAAAAGTATTAAGGATAACGAACATTCAATTAAACGTGCATATGAGGCATGTTTTCAGCTTTAATTCAAGCCCAAGTTTATTTAAAATCGGATGAACGGGACGCTCAAAGGGTCATTTCTCCCGCGCCGCGCCGCCTTCGATGCGTTTCCCGCCACCTCCAGGCGCACGGTTTCCGTGATAGGTAAGATGTGCGGACGATTTCGGCCGATCTGATATAATCGTATTGAAATCCTTATCAATATTTTTAACCAGGTTGTTAACCCGGGCCTTTTAACGCCCTAACGTTTTAGGCGATCAATGTTGAGTGCAATCAGTGTTCTTTTGACATTTGTGTAAGCTTATTGTGATAAGTGTGTTGTAAAGTTATGGCATTTTCAAAGCCAGAAAACTGTGAAGTTCAGTCAGTAATTCGATTTTCGACTTTGGAATGTGTTAGGCTATGTGACATTATTCCCAGACTTTGAGCAGTTTACAGAGAAATGCGATGAGCGGTGGAAACGTCCGGAGGTTGATCCAATCGTTTCGAGTCAAGAACATAGGTGCACAATGAAATCTGAGATGGCAGGCCACAAGTGATCGATAGTGACTTAGTGCAATGAGTTGAGGCTTTTATCCGCGAAGATTGCCGAATGACAATTAACGAAATGTTCGAATATTTTCCTGTAATTTCTCGATTTGTCTTGCATCAAATCGCTCATAAATGGTTGAATTAAAAAAAATTCGAGCAAGGTGGATTCCGAAAATGCTAGCTTACCGCGTGCCTGGAAGTCGGGAAACGCATCGAAAACGGTGGGGGAGAAATGCCTTCCTAAGCGTCCTGTTCATCTAATTTTTAAAAACCTGGGCTTAAATTACAGCTGAAAGTATGCTTCATAGGCACATTTATTCCGATTTTCTCTAACTTTTATAATTTTGAAATGAGGGCAAAACGCGCAAGACTTTCAGGATTACCATCGTACCTAGGAAGAAGGAAGAGAGCGGAGAGCTGGAAGTTGATAGAGGGCTTGCAAAGGGACATGAAAAAGGAAATTATATTTCTGATAACAATCGGCCAACTGGAGGACCATTTTAAAGAATTAATTTACCCCCCTGTAGTTTTAGTTACCACAAGGTACTTTTACTTACTCCTCGTTGTTACGAGGAGTCAGTATTGACGGAAAAGTCTTGAAGGCTAAAATAGAAGGAAAGAGGGCTCCATGTAATGTGGAATAGAAGAGCAAGCAGGATTCAGGGCTGGTATATTAACTGTCGACTCTTTATTCTGTATCACAAAACTGATATAGAACAAATTGGCCAGAAGACAGGAGCTCCATTTACTTTTTGTTGATCTTCAGAAAGCGTGCGTTCTTTTTTTGTTTTTTTTTTTCAAGCGACCTTTATTGACAAAAGATTACAAAAGCAGTGGACATATAAAAGATGGACAACAGGAAACAGTGAGTAAGAAACAGAAGTAAGTAAAAGAGTTATAAAAGGAGCAGATGAAATTGAATATACAAAATTAGCGAAAAAGGAGAGCGAATCAAGTGACTCCAGGGGTCAAGGTTGCACCGGAATTACCCTGCGGCCTGCGGTATACCGTCGGTGGGGGGTTGGGAGGTTCAGCGTGTGGGGGGACATCATGGATGACTTCTTCTTGATGACGCACTCAACAAAAGAGGAGATAAACGTCAAATTTTGATGGGAAGAAAGGAGGAGTTCCTGTGCAGACAAGAGAATGAAATGTGACCCCAGCTTAGCATTAAGAAGCTCACACTTCGCTAGAAGAAGGGGCAGAGAAAGAAAGTATGCTCCTGAGAGTCTCTAGAACTGCAGCCGGGTAGAGGGCACAGATTATCGTCGAGAATTTTAAACCTATTAAGATAGTCAAAGAAACATCCATGACCGCTAAAAAATTGCGTCATAAAATAATTTGTGCCTCCATGAGGCCTCCGAAGGAAACTCCTAAGGTCTGGGATGAGGGTCTTGAACCATACGTCTGCGCTAGTGTCTTCCTCCAACCTGGACGCCCACCTCTCAAAAATGTTGTCTCTGACTTGAAGCTTGGGCTGGCTACTGTACTACCTGCATCTAGATTCTATGTAAAGATCGGTTGGAGGAATGCCACTGAGAATGTCGAGGACATTATTAGAGACAGTACGGTGGGCAGCACAAATACTTCGTTTAAGGGGCCTACATGCTTTGGTACTAAGATCTCTAGAATTTGCCAATTTAGTTACCTCCGCCCATACGGGCACACCGTAGAAAAGTGAAGAGTATGCTGCTGTCAATATTAGCTTCCTCTTTTTAAAGGAGGGACCCTTGATGTTGGGCAGCAGAGGAATTAATGAGGCGTGGACCCTCGTAGCCTTTTCACAATCCTTAAATACATGATTTTTGAAACCGAGTTTTTTGTCTAGCCAGATGCCAAGATATTTGATTGATGGGGAGGGCTTGATAAGACAATCTAACACGCGTACAGAAATCTTTTTCCATTTCTTCCCGCCCTCCAGAATGCAGGCCTCAGTTTTGCTTGGCTCAAGACTCAGTTTTCTTGGTACCATTTCCTCATTGATTTCGTTAGTCACTATCTTGGTTTTACATCGCAATTCCTTTGCAGTTTCCGCCTCGATTATAACTGAAAGATCATCAGCGTAGCCTAGTTTTTTGCACCTGGTCGTATGGATTTTTTCTATCACCAAATCATAGCAAATGTTGAAAAGAAAAGAGCCAAGAATGGACCCTTGTGGAACCCCAGACGTAACTGGGAAAGAGTGAGCCCCATAGGTAATAATAAGGTCAGCGAGGTAGCTCTGGATTAAATTTACAAGATAAGCTGGGGTGTTTTTTCTTTTCAAAGATGATACGATGTCCAACCAAGACAGTAAATTGAATGCATTCTTAACATCCAAAGTTAAGATTGCTAGTGCCTTCTTTCCTCTGATGTCATACTTCTCGCTGACTATGTCACGCAATTTGTTTATTGCGTCGAGTGTTGAACATCCTGTCCTTAATCCAAATTGTCTTTATGAAAGGGGATCAGTCGATAAAGAAAGTCTAAAGAGGATAAAGGAAGGTCGAATACCTTCCAGAGGCCATTGAGGAGGCAAATGAGTCTATATTTTTTAATGCCAGCTTTCTTGGACTTAGGCAAAAGGAAGAGTATAGGCCTTCTCCATTCTATAGGGAAAGTGCCAGACAATAAATAAATTATTAAACATGTCAGTGCAAGAGGAGATGTTACAGTTAAAAATGACTCAATGATTTCAGGAGGGATTCTGTCTGGCCCCGGGGCTTTTTTGGGCCTAAGCTGCGAGGACCCACGCTTGACTTCCTCGAGCGTAAAAGGAGCAATTTCCTCCTCCACAGTAGCCTGCTGCCAAGTAATGATAGGGTGCAGTGGAAAAAGTTCAGAGACTACTGCCCTGAGTTCGGACTCAAATAGTGACTCATTATCATAGGATTTAGGCGACTTGAACTTATTACGCATTATTTTGTAAGCTCTCCTCCAGCAAGCCACCTCAAGTTCATCCAGGAGATTATCCCAACATCGAGTTTTAGATTTATAAAACGCGTCGTTTAAAAGTTTGCGAGAGTTGGAGAATTCTATAAATTGTCAGTCACTTTCAGCGTTAGAAATGTCTTTCATTTCGTACAGGCGCCTTCGTGCTTGAAGGCATGATTTGGGGAGGTATGCAATTTCCGCTGTCCACCAGTAGGAGGGCTTCTTTTTGGAGGAAGGGTCTTTTCTTGCAAAATTCTTATCCAGGGAGTAAATTAGGATTTCCCGGCAACTCTGCGCTGTGAGGACAGTGGTTGCCGCTAGAACTAAGGTGACAAACCTGGCTATGGTGGAAAGAAAGGACAGGGTTTCGTCTTTAGAGATCCACCAACCAGTAGACACATATGGTTTAGCTGGAAGGGGGGGGGGGGGGGTATCAGACAACATAGGAAATTTTAACGCGTGGTGGTTGCTGTGATTTTCGTAATGGTTCAAGACCCCAAGCCCAGAAAAAAGGGGCAAGGAAGGGACTGAGCCACAGACTCACCATGGTGATTTTGAGAGGTGGGAACAAAATGATCAGAATCGTTTAAAGTAGTAAGAGAGTTTGCTGTGAACCATTCCAGAAGTGCTTCGCCCCTGGGGTCACTTTTTCTATCCCCCCAAGCAAGAGATCTGCTATTAAAGTCGCTCATGATGACAAGAGGCAGGGTTTGCTGAGCGATGGACATCTCAAGCCTAAAGCGTACGTTAGAGTGTCATTAGGGAAACTCTGGGAAGCCCTGGAAAAATGGAATTTTAGTAAAGGACTGAATGCCATTAAACAGTATTACCGCAGAAGTTGTACAAAAGTCAAATATCAAGGAAAGTTGTCTGGTTGATACAGCCATATTGTTTACTCTATGTTTTGCTGATGATCAGATGGTGATCGTGCAAGATGCAGATGGCACTGGATATATTGTTGAACTGTGTTTCCCACTTAAAAATGTAATACTTTATGTTGGCAACAACAGAAGACGTGGGAGATCAGCCATCGCGTAGGCGTCAGCCCTACTTGGAGCACTTGTATTCATCTTATCTAATATAATGTTGTTCTCCTGAACATGGCCTTACATTTCTTGCGCTAATTCATTTCTTACAACCTATTGACTAGAGTTGGGCTGGGTATCCGGCGATTATCCTGATTACCGGATTATCCAGCCGAATCGGGATATCCGGTTTTTGGACCCGCCGGATAGTGCTTTTACAACTGTGAAAATTTCGAGAAATTTTTGTGATATTTTGGCATTTTTCGGCGCATTTTGAGTAGTCATTGTCATTGTTCAACTTTTTGAAGCTTGTTATGACCGGAATTAAGGACATTACCCGCACATTTACACGATTGCAACGTGATTCAATTCCGAAAGTCTGCGTGTTCCACTTTCAAAGACGAAGATGCAGGTGGAAGAGAAAAAAAAACTATGCCACCAACATGTGCATAAGTTCCCTGTTGGTAACGTTTTTAGTCCGGAAGTAACTCCGCAATTATTGCAATGTCACAGTGCGCAGCTTGCTCTTGCAGCATCAAAGCACTGTTTACCACTTTTGTCTTGTTAAGGCACACTTCGAAAGGGCTGGACACACTTTCAAAGTGAAGCTTCAAAGAGGTGGCTGTTTAGTCAAGTGTTGCGCATCGATGAGGTAATCGATGGCAACACTTGGCTAAACAGCCACCACTATGAAGCTTCACTTTGAACGTGTGTCCAGCTTTTCATGATATCTCTCTTTCTGCACATCAAATTCATCCGGCTCATTACATCATGAAGCCAATGAGAGCCATGCTGCTTATGTGCCAGGTCTTTTTTTAGTATTTGTTTCAGCAGGCCGACTCATAGCGTTTCATTGAAAAATATAAAGGTCGCCGGTGCGAAGGCACAAATATCATGGATGACGGTCTTGATGGTGTAGCACACAGTGTGCCTCTTGTCCCAAGCACGAAATCGAAAGATTTTTCTCGCTCAAATCGGGAGATTTTTCTCACGCAAAAAAGCACTATCCGGATACGGTATAATCCGGCTCCGGCCGGATACATTGGCGAATTATCCGGTATCCGGCTCCAACCGGATACAAAAAATCTTTTCACAAACTCTTCCCAGCCCACTCTCCTTAACTTCTTCTTTTTTAGGAAAAACGAAATCCGACGATCACATCAGAATAGCTTGCAATAATCAGCAAATTACCATCCACAGATTCAACGTGTGATAATCCGGCTGTGCACCTGCACTCAGGAGAGTCCCTGCAAAGATAATCCCAAGCCCCGACCTCTTTATCAACCGTTGATGGCGAGATAATCAACGAGGTCGGATACTTTCTAGACAGACCCTGTAAACCTCCTTCGGGAGCACTATGCGTGCTATTTCAATGTACCTACCTAGTTTCTCTATACCATAGAGACACTGATAAATCTGACAATGAGAGAGATTTGGTAGAATGCTAATAGTCTTCAAATTACAAGGCTACTTACCCAACTTCAACAATTTTATCTCTGGTGTTCTTCATTGTGCAACGGGCGGCCTACAAATAAGGATTACAGTGATTAGTGGAAGAGATAATTCCAAAAGGGGAAAGGCTTTACAAATGAAGTTTTATACAATGGAGCTCTGGCATGTGTGGGAGATTTGCGATCTCAGTACCTTTCCGTACATCAAATTTCGTGAGAAATAACATGGCGCCACTGGTTTGCTGTGAAACGAACTCCAAAGCTCAAAAAAGCTTTCCAGTTGTGACTGAAATGGAGGGAATATTCCTTGCTATCTTGAGAGTCCACCTCTACATCTAGTCAACCTCTCCATGCAAAGATAGGGAGAAAATACAATAGCAGGGTTGCCATGTTTTCAGTTTTGGAGTCCCCAAACAAAGAAGCAACCCTGTTAATATATTTGCTCACTATTTTGGCATGGAAAGTTTGACTTGACGGAGAGGTGGACTCTTAGAAAAGCGTGGATAATCCTTTCCATTGCGGCCTCAACATTTGAGAGCTTTTTTTGAGTTTTGGAGTTTGTTACAGAGGAATCCACTAGCATCGTCATATTTCTCACAAAATGTTACAAAGGAGTAAGTACTTAAATCGCAAATTCCGGACACATGCAAGAGCTTCATAAAAGATGTAAAATGTGTTAAAGAATGATTTTTGACCAATTCTTGTATAATATCATAAGTCATCATCATTACACCTGCCAGGCTGACTATAAGAGGGCGTATCTCACTAACAAATTATCTCCTCCAGCAAACTGATGTGCTTTGACTTTTAAAAAGGTCAATGTTGCTCTCAGAGGTCTGGTTCCAACACCAATAACGAATTTAGAGCCTTGAAGTAGCCTTTTAACACTATAAGACAAGGCCACTTCAAGGCATACTTTCCTCGTCCCACATCCTGGCTGTATTTCCATCAATACTCAATATTGAAACGGGACGGTACCGGTACATCTAGTGTACGGTCCCATTTTGGTCTTTTTCCACTACGCGCGCGTAGGATTGGCAGCCTTACTGCTCAGCACGTTTTTGCTAGATTTGTTTTGGGTAGCAGCTTGAGGCGAGCTTTCCCGGAGTCGGATTTTTGGGCCCGATATTTGGTCTCAGCCATGGAGCGCCTCGTCCGCTGCTATGAATGTGATCAATCGACATGCTGGAGTCTAACGTTTACGCAAAGAGGCCTACAGTCCTACGCAAGAGTAGCAGAAGTTTGAAGAAGTTTGAAAAAGAAGTCTGTGGTAGAAGTTTGAAGTACTACATTGAAACAGAAGTTTGAGGTAAATTTGTCAGTAGTGTTTCATAGAAGTGCGTTATGATATATTCGTCAATTACCCTGCGAACCAGTGTTGTTGTCATCTTGTTCCTCAGCTCTACTACCCGCCTGAGTAATCACCCCCCTCCCTTACAAATATAAACGATTTTCTGTGAAAAATGAGTCATTTCATAATAGGTATTTCAATACATTACATACATACAGGTATTCAATACTTTATATTTTCAACATTCTGACACAAATATTTTTCTAATAATTTAAACTATGATTCACAATTGAAGGTTGAAATATAATTTTATAAAATTAAGCGCTTACCAATTTGTCTCCATAACGTATGGTGAAATTGTCAGGAGTCTCAACTGGATAAAACATCTGTGGAGTTAAGGGATCCCTTTTCCCAAGTAGGGTCCAAACTTGCTTTCCGTTTTCTTCTCGAATTACATATCCAGAAACAACTTTCCCTACAGTCAAACAAAAGAAGATAGGCTTTTCAGAAATTTAAGAATCAATTTATAAAGCAGATGTTATGATTAGAAAAGATGGTTGTCCTCTTAACATGTTTCTAAAAAAACACTTACGGTCTTGGGAAAAGTTTACTATGTCTAGCATTTTGACACTGCTTGAACCAAGAGAGTTTGGAGCAGGTAGAAAGATCTAAAGAAAAAGAACCAACGGATCAGGCTGACTCTTTCATGGCTGGCTATGCTGCGCTGCAACAAAACGGCAGCACAGTTTACCTCTCCCGCCCCTCTAATACACTGGAAAACGACACATTCTTAGTGAAATGAGCGGTGATTTGTGTAATTAAAATGGTAAGATATCTGTAATAGATTAAATATTTGCATGCTTTATACGTAACGTGAAGCCACTTTCATTTAAATATTTTCTTTTTGGGAGAAAAAGTTCACCTTGATGTTTGTTTAAGGCCCCTCCAGGGTCACATTTCTTCAAACTGTAAATTTTTTAATTATACATTATTTTAACAATAACAAAACACGTTTAATGCAAGAGTTGTGATAGTGTGTTTGATTGGGAATCAAGGGAGGATATTTACCTTAAATGTTGCTGTGTTATTCACTTCAAATTCATGTTAACATTGTCAAAAAAGCGTATGATGAGAAAGCTGCACAGAGTTGACAGCTGCTTTCACAGTTAAAAGCACAGTTCTTAGTAAAACTAGATGGGTGCAACATGATAGGGCCCTAGACTGTTAGAGCCCGTCAATTTTACTAAGAGGTGTTTCCAACAACGATGATTTTAGCGCTCGTTGATTTTGGCCCAAGCTTTGCTCCAATGCTGTACAAGGTGCCCCTGATGCCTGGGCAAAATTTCAGCACCCTTGGATAATTAGAGGGGAGGGGACAGGAGGGCAATGTTGTCATTTGGGCAAAACTTTGGGAATCAATATCTCTGAACAGGGAATTATTTTAGCTGTGGACGTTACATTCTATGCCTTAAACTGTCCATAAGTTGGTCTGCTCAGCCCACAAAATTCAAAATTCTTTGAAGACTGAGTAATGTGCCTTGCACTCTTTGGTGCTGCAAATTTTTGTTGAAAAAGATTGTGGACAATGCAAGATACCGGTCAAAGAAGGCCGTTGCGGACGTTACTAAAAAGACCTCTCCTTTTTGTGGACCTTACTTTGACTTCAATTTTTATAGAAACTATTTTATTGCCACTTTTATGGCGTTGCGGACGTTACAAGGTTTTGTTGCGGACGTTACAAGGTTTTGTTGCGGACGTTACAAGGTTTTGTTGCGGACGATACAAGGCTTTGATGCGGACGTTACAAGGATTTGTTGCGGACGTTACAGCCATAGAACTCTGTACCTAAAATAGGCTGTAACTCTCGCAGTTTATGAATTTATTGAATTAAAAGATAACAGCATGAATCAGGAAAGCCAGTATAGTCACAATGGTCTATGAATTTCACCTTAAATTTAATACGAATATCTGTCAGAAACTTTCCGAAGTAAATATCTGAGGTGATGGTAGAGCCAAGTTTCTATCGTTAAAATACAACCTAAAAATAAATTTAAGCACAAATTATTTGTGAAAATGAACAGAACGGCAAAGTTAAGAGATGTTACGTTCATCAATAGTGTAAAAATGCGCCTTTTAAAAAAGATACAGAGTATTCCCGATCATGTGTATAGTGCTATTTATTTAGTTATTTTAGGTCGAACGAAGTCGGATATGGCAGAAATTAAAAGGCAATTGACCCCCAAGGAATCTGAATTTCACCCTCCCGAGGCCCCTACTGCCCCCATCGGTAGGTAACATGGGGGACCCACCTTCAAAAGTGGGGGTGCCGGTCCCCGTCGAAATCATTCTATCAAACTCAGGCAGTACAAAAAATTTTAAACTAGAAAATCCCCAAAAAATCAAAAACTGACCAAGTGCACTGCCCAGAAAATTTCCTTCGAGTTTTTTACAGCACACGAAAATATTTCATAATAACGTGTTAAAAAATCACGAAAAACTGATTTCGTGGGCATCGATAGATAGCAGCAATTAGCCGCATTCCCGATATAGGCCCCCGCGTGTGCACTATAGTAAGGCTATTACAGTAGGAGGTGCAGGATACACTCAATAACCGTGCAGTCGAAGACGAAGATAGGTTAAAAGTAGTTACGATCAATAATTAATTTGTATTTAAATGCACATCATCAGGAAGAATGTATTAACTATCTCAGAAAACAATAAGGAACGTTTTACCGAAATTAAAGAGCTTGATGCAAAAACGGCTTTTTTCGCCCCCCCTCTGGAAATTCTTCAGACTTCGTCTATTGATTACTCTCATACTTGAGCGCTTCTTTTCCCAAATTTTCAGACTCCCAAAAAATTTTGGGGGGGAGCTAGAGGGGGTGGAAGTCAAAACCTGTGAACCTCGATATCTCTTGAACAAAAAAAGATATCGAGTTCCGGTTTGGACGAAAAATCGTCTAAAGTTGCATTCCCGATATCACATTTTTAAGTCAACATATGTGCTTTTTTCCAGTTTTTAGGTCCAGAAAATTTCTTTTAAACGAAGAATTTACAAAGATCTCAATTTTTTATTTGAACCAAAACCAGTTTTTTAAATTGTTCGTCTTTTCCCGCATCCAACGAGTGGTCCATTAAACTGGGGAACCAAACGGTTCCGGAGTTATGATCGATTGAAGTTTCCGCTCAACGCGCGCCGACCGATTTTCGCGCGCAAAAAAGTCGGATTTGACTGTTATTAGATCAGATTGAATGTTCAAACTGAGCAAAATGCTTTATTAGGGAATCTTGAGGGTCGCTGAGTCCAGAAATTACAGATACTTCCAAATAATTTACGTTTTTAAAATTACAGCTCCGTAGCGCTATTTTAGAGGCCCACTGAGCGCCGACCGGCCGCTCAGTGGTCCTGTCCGAAGCTGCAATTTTAAAAACGTGAATTTTTTGGAAGTATCGGTAATTCCTAAACTCAGCGACCCTCAAGATTCCCTAATAAAGCATTTTGCTCAGTTTGAACATTCAATCTGATCTAATAACAGTCAGATCCGACTTTTTGGCGCGCGAAAATCGGTCGGCGCGCGTTGAGCGGAAACTTCAATCGATCATAACTCCGGAACCGTTTGGTTCCCCAGCTTAATGGACCACTCGTTGCATGCGGAAAAAGACGAACAATTTAAAAAACTGGTTTTGGTTCAAATAAAAAATTGAGATCTTTGTAAATTCTTCGTTTAAAAGAAATTTTCTGGACCTAAAAACTGGAAAAAAGCACATATGTTGACTTAAAAATGTGATATCGGGATTTCGACCTTAAGAATCTAAAAGTATGCAATTTTAGACGATTTTTCGTCCAAACCGGAACTTGATATCTTTCTTTGTTCAAGAGATTTCGAGGTTCGCAGGTTTTGACTTCCACCCCCCCTGGCTCCTCCCCCCCAAAATTTTTTGGGAGTCTGAAAATTTGGGAAAAGAAGCGCTCAAGTATGGGAGTAATCAATAGACAAAGTCTGAAGAACTTCCAGAGGGGGGGCGAAAAAAGCCGTTTTTGCATCAAGCTCTTTAAAATTGAGCACACTTTATGAGTGAGAATAAATTGAAACCTAATCAAGTTGCTATAGTGTAGGTACCTGAATTTTTGGTACGAGGTTATCAAACAAGTTACATGTGAGATTAATTCTAGCTAGAGCCGTGTAACGTCCTCTCCGTTGCGGACATTACACTTTTTCGACTTTGTATAACATGATAATTGAAGTGTCTAAATACGTTCTAACACTACTGGAGTAACAATGAAAAACATGTCCTAACGTTCACCAAACACGAACTTCTAAACTGGCTCCTACGTTAAATGGAATTAAGTTTAGTAGCTTTTCTGTTTGGACGTTACATTTTCACATGCCTTCACAAAATGAGGAAAAATATTGCATTCATTTGGACTTTTCTGCTTTTTGAAGGCTGTTTGATATTTTGGAGGAACTTAACTGTAACTCCATGTGGTTTTCAATCATAAAGATGCAACGTGTAATGAATAAAAATTACTTCAAACATAACCTCGAAAATCACTACTCTCGACATGCCTTCAGAATAACTGAAAAATCTTGCGAATCTAGAAACTTGAAATGGAAAGTGATCTCATTTCCTAAAATTGAACATTTTTCCAATACGGTGCACAACATTTTATCATACACCAGTTAAATTGATTTTGCAACCTCGAAGGTCCCGTTTGGAAATAATTCCCCTGGAAGTGTTGTGGTTTGCGCTAAAAAAAGTCAAAAAATAATTCCTACAAGAATATTAGGATGGTTCTTATTTTTCGACTTTTCGAAAATCGAATGTCTGACCCCCACAAAGTTGTCTTTTGGGATTAGATGAACGTACAAAAAATTTCAGCCGGATCGGATCATCCGAAGTGGTGCCGCCGGGGCCGACAAGTCTCTTAGTGGGAACTTCAAATTTGGGACAATTGCGTTATTCTGTCGTTTCGCGAATTTTTTTCTCCCTTTAAAAATGTAGCCATGGTTTTGAAATTTTTTGAGGTAACACACTTTTCAGGGCCTCCTATGAAAAAAATAAAAAAAATTACCTTACCACTTGTAAAATGCCCTTTTCCACCCCCCAAAGGAGCCTCATCGTACGATATCGCAGTTTTCTCGTAACATGCTCCTGGCACGGTTTGACTGATGAACGGTTTAAATTTTTTGACAAAGCAAAAGCAAAATCGCTTCACTCATGAAGAGGGAAGTGTCTACCAAGTCACTAAAGCCAAGAAGAAAAACATTCTGTAGAGCTCCTGGAAAATAAAGTCGACTGAGAGGTATTTTAGGGCTAAAAAGGGCAACTTACCGATGGTTATCACTGTTCCGTTACCACAGAAAATTGTGGTTGTTTTAAGTAGTCAAACACAAAAACCGCAGATTTTAGCCGCATGGTAAATTTTGGAGACCTGAAATTACCAATCAGAACCGAAAATTCCTCAAATTTTCCATGAAGCTCTCCAAAAACGACCTGGTTTCTGAGCTGTTGATTCAGCCATCGAACCACATACCATCAGTAAGTTGCCCCTTTCAGCCCTAAAATACCTCTCAGTCGACTTCATTTTCCAGGAGCTCTACAGAATGTTTTTCTTCTTGGCTTTAGTGACTTGGTAGACACTTCCCTCTTCATGAAAGAAGCGATTTTGCTTTTGCTTTGTCAAAAAATTTAAACCGTTCATCAGTCAAACCGTGCCAGGAGCATGTTACGAGAAAACAGCGATATCGTACGATGAGGCTCCTTTGGGGGGTGGAAAAGGGTATTTTATAAGTGGTAAGGTAATTTTTGTCATTTTTTCATAGGAGGCCCCGAAAAGTGTGTTACCTCAAACAATTTCAAAACCGTGGCTACATTTTTAAAGGGAGAAAAAATTCGCGAAATGACAGAATAACGCAATTGTCCCAAATTTGAAGTTCCCACTAAGAGACTTGTCAGCCCCGGCGGCACCACTTCGGATGATCCGATCTGGCTGAAATTTTTTGTACGTTCATCTAAACCCAAAAGACAACTTTGTGGGGGTCAGCCATTCGATTTTCGAAAAGTCGAAAAGTAAGAACCACCCTAAAGAATACATACTGTTTTGATGGTTGTATGATTTATCGTTAATTTGATTCAAATTTTTGGATTTTGACAATTTAACTTTCTCTGTCTATCGCATTTCCTCTCACGCAAATAGTTGCTATGTAAACGGAGACTTAGCAGGGTGACTCTCCATGAAATTCTGCATCTACCACACTTGACCTTACCTAACAGAAATGAGTTGCTCCTGAGTTACAGCAATTTTTGTGCGTGCAACCAGTCTGTGACTAATTCAGGCAAGGTGGAATTAGGGCCTGCAGTAAAAGACCATAGAACAATCTTTGAAGGGTGTTTCTCATGTGTTTTTTGGTGCTGAATTAAAATTTAAACTTCATGTAAAACAGTTATCTCTCAAAAGTTGCAAAATAGCACAAAAAACTGATTCTAAGCAGTTCCCGCACGATTTTGTGATTTATTGAACAAGATTTGGGGACGTGATGAGCTAAAGGAACGTAGGCATCTATTATTAACCTAGGCATTTTCAACATCAAATAGACTGCAGAAGTTGTCAAATTGTGCAAAAGAAGGCTAAGATGTGCCTATTGTACGATTTGGGACCTTTTCTGGTGTTGAAACAAAGTCTAAAATCGAATTTGGCATCAAAAAGTAGGATAAATACTCTTTGCTAAAAACAATCCATACTTCCTAGGACCAAAATTGCAATTTGTCTTGCAATTAGGGTCAAAATCGGCGTTTTCGGAACTAACTATTTAGAAAAATCATCTATTCTAAGAATGACTGGAGAAAACTATCTCAATGTTTTTTTGATTTCGGAAAAAATGCAAGGTTGCTCCACCCTAAGGCACAGGACCGCAGCACTGAGTGGACACTTTAAACAAATTAGGGCTTACTTTCTCACCAAGAGGCAACTTATCCCCCTTCCCATCTTCGGATTTCAGCAAATTTGTAGTGTGCATCATTCCATGATCCTTGCCTTCTTGTATCCACCACAACCCGACTACATTTCTTTCATTGGACGTGTCTGGGTCATTATTGTCGAAAAAGTTTATAATTAAAAATTTAGCACTTCTGAAAACCATCATAAAAAACGTATGTACTTGCCTAACTGATGGGTATGAGTTCTGTATGCAACAGGGTGCAAGACTTTGTGTTCTTCAATGTTACAAGAGGCCTCCATGTGCTCAATCCTTTTGGGATGTATCTGCCCACCAGTTCCCAAGAGAATAACAGCAGCAGTTCGTGGTAACCTTAAAAAGAAGGAATGGAAAGTTGAGAGTCTTTCAAATTAAAACGTTTTGAATAAAAAAAGGGACTGATTAGTAGGGTGGGTTGAATTGCGGAGCACTTAAACAATTTTTTTAAAATATTTTAGAGTTTTTAAGATGCAAGTATACTATAATTTAATCAAAGAAAAGGATTTCTTGCACAGAGAAACTTGGTTCATGGACCCAGACTCCTACAAAAACCATTTATACTTGTTGACTTACTGCTCTTACTCCGGAAAATGATGATAAATCTTTAAATTTGTCTCTTTGATATTTTGTCCCTTTGCAGGCAGTATTTAGCATACATTCTTGGTGAGTTAAAGTCACCTTAAGTTCTTGTTCCCTGTCAAAGAAGGCGCAAAAAGATACTGCTTACAAAAAAGGACCAAAGCATATAACAGAACATTCTGAGAGGCGCATAACCGCAATAACTTTGAGTGGAAAATTGGATCCACCTTTGAGCCATTTGCAACCACTGTCCAGTATACTCATCATTGTCGTCCCGGGACAGCTGTGCAATTGTGCATTGACACGTTGACTCACAAACGGCTGCCAGCATGTGCTAGGCAATCTTTTTTATTGTATTTCTCTGATTTTTTGATAAATAGCGTCATGAGTATTGTTCTAAATATTATTCAAGAGTGTTCTGTTGCCAACCCGAAAAACCTTAATGGGTTTTTTTTTAAAATTAGTTTGGTTTGGTCAAGGATGAATTCTATGGAACAGGGTGGCTTTAACTAATAGGCGCTATGTTGCCAAAACGCTATAACCTCAAAAAGTCCATTTGGGATGACCCTCAAAGTGTACCTGGAGTGCACTTTCGAGGAGCAAAGATTTACCGCCGGATGCGCTGCTGTCGAATGTACCATTAATATCTGTGCTGTTGAATTCCGCCAGTGGACAGGAGGTCAGCACACTTGCTTTCTGTTTTGGTTGTTGCAGAATTGAATCCATAATTGTTTTCATCATAATTTTGTTTCAAGTTTCGGATTATATTCTTTGATTTTTATTTCCAGACCTTTCCTTCCTCTGATATTTCCTGCTATATTGTCGACTTATGAGCTTTTATAGGCTAATTTAAGAATACATAAGAGACTTTAAGATTGCATCTCAGCCTTGAGTTACATCCCGATTTGGTGGGTCTCCCTGATTTAGCTTGAATAGCAGGGCGCGGACAGCGAAAAAAATGCAAATGGCTTAATATTTAGAGAAGAATACACTTACGGTTCTTCAGTGTAATGCAAAATTAACCCCGATCGATCAGATTCTCCATCTATAAAATTAGATCATAGCACAGTTCAGTATTGATAATTAATGACACATGGAAATTAAAAACATCCTAGGTACCATTTCCTTTGAAGTAAAATTATAAATGCAAAAGATTTAAACTTTGATCTTTTTACATGAACCTGCTTTTGTGCATCAATACCAAATTTCCAATTGTTCCTCACCAAAAATGTCCGATTTCATTGTGAAATGCCCAATTTTACGCCAAAATATGCAATTTATCTCCCTTTTTCAATAGTGGGCGAGCAGAGGAAGAGGAAAAAAGCAGGGTTGTCACTAACATGTGGGTTTCTCATGATTTGAAAGTTTACCAAGGAAGATTAGTTTACAGACCTGTTAAAAACGGCAGTGAGTCCTGGTGGCAATCACCTCCAAACACCAAGTTATTTCAACTTTCAACCAATTTGACACATTTNTTTATAATTTTTCAACCCCCCGGCGCCCCTTTTGGGCGCCATCTTGAATGGGGGGCGCCGGATTGATTTTTGAACTTGACACCATCAAAAATCTGATTCTACGTATCAAGACGAAGAGATTGATGTATAGAACTCACTCTTTTCACAATACTGCAGACAAATCATCTTTTTTGCACATTAGCAACTCCACTAGAAGCAAAAGGCCAATCAGGGGAAATGCATCTATTTGGCTATGAAATTAACGCAACTGAAAAACACATGGTGATTGCATTTTAATACTCATCTCATCAAACTTTTTTTTTTTTTTTCTTTAAAAAGTTTTATTTATTGTAACTTCCAATTAGAGGAAATGTATACAATTATCATAAGTTAGAAATAATGTATGGTAAAGCAGTGACTGGTTAATTGCTTATTATCATAAAATTAAAGAAACTAAACCTAAGACTTAATTAAGATTAAAAGGACATTCGTAAAAATCAAATGGGTGAGATGAGTGAAGATCTGATCTAGTGAGAAGATTATCTTTAAAGATGAGAAATAAGTTATGCAAGTTGTTTAAAAATCGGAATCAGCGTTAGTGACAAGCTCCCAAGGCTTTTTCCTCTTCAGTCTCCGAATTACTTTAGTATTATTTAAAAGTTCAATTGCAGTTTTGTTTGGATGACGATGTAGCCTGTCTTCGTATCTTTGCGAAATTATTTGAATATATTTATAAATAGATTCTATCCCTAAGTCTCTATACCGGGTGTCCGTAAAGTAACTGAAAAGTGGGTATAATTTTTGAACAAAAAAAGATAGAAGGTCGCGGTTTGTGGCATTCTTCATCATTCGAAAAGGGAAATTTTTCGATGGGGGGTTTTTCTTGGTGGACCCCCCTGGGGGGCCCCAGCGGGGGTCAACTTTAAAAATTCAAAAAGCAACCCCAATTTTTTCAGACATGGTTAAAAAGAACTTAAAAAGACAAGAATAATGACGCAAATAAAATTAAAATCGGTTCACTCGTTCAAAAGTTACAGCCGGTCAAAATTTTAAATTGACCACTTTTCAAAAAATCGCCCTTGAGCTCCAAATGATCGAAAAACAAAAACAATCCAGGAATGAAAAGTTTAATAAGTGCCTTACAGGAAAAGGAAAAACAACTGACATTGTCACAAGTTTGGATGGCATTGTTTCAAAATAAAATTTCGGGAGATTCAACAGGGCGGCAAATTTGAGGAAACGCAAAAAATGAAAATTCCAGAAACTGTTATCTTTCAAATACCCTCTAGTATAAGGAAATCAAACGTATCAACTTTTATTCCTTTACTTGGCCAAGTAAGAGCATTAATTTGCTGACTATAAAGTTGGCTTTATTCTCCTTTTATCGTTAAATTTGAGGAGGAGGACCTTGAACATTTCTAAAGCATCCCAAAGGAGGAGAGCTTTTTCACATCAGCTTCATTTCTTGACAGCACAATTAATCCTGTTATGTCACATACTCCAACGATTGAAGGCGCCCCGCTTGACAACTTTATAGTCAGCAAATTATTGCTCTTACTTGGCCAAATAAAGGAATAAAAGTTGATACGTTTGATTTCCTTATACTAGAGGGTATTTGAAAGATAACAGTTTCTGGAATTTTCATTTTTTGCGTTTCCTCAAATTTGCCGCCCTGTTGAATTTTCCGAAATTTTATTTTGAAACAATGCCATCCAAACTTGTGACAACGTCAGTTGTTTTTCCTTTTCCTATAAGGCACTTATCAAACTTTTCATTCCTGGATTGTTTTTGTTTTTTCGATCATTTGGAGCTCAAGGGCGATTTTTTGAAAAGTGGTCAATTTAAAATTTTGACCGGCTGTAACTTTTGAACGAGTGAACCGATTTTAATTTTATTTGCGTCATTTTTCTTGTCTTTATAAGTTCTTTTTAACGTCTGAAAAAATTGGGGTTGCTATTTGAATTTTTAAAGTTGACCCCCGCTGAGGCCTCCCAGGGGGGTCCACCAAGAAAAACCCCCCCATCGAAAAATTTCCCTTTTCGAATGATGAAAAATGCCACAAACCGCGACCTTCTATCTTTTTTTGTTCAAAAATTATACCCACTTTTCAGTTACTTTACGGACCCCGGTAGATGTCCTTATTAGTCTCATACCTTTGGGCACCACTCAATTTCCTTAATATTTTAGACTGCAGCGATTGCAATGATTTTGAACTAGTTTTGGGGGCACAGTCCCAATCATCAAACTGAAAGACAGGTCTTCTGAGGTTGAAAAAGAAAAAGATTCCCAAAGAGTCCTGGGAAATAATGTAAAACAGTTGCTTCAACCTATAGACCGTGGGCCAGCAAGGGGTAACCCTTCCCCCCTCCCCCCCCCCCGTGGGAATTTTGAAGATGGTGATTTTCTTGAAGCTCTCAACTTGTAGAATAAGATTTTTCTTGTTTACGCGAATTTTATCCTAGTGGGGGGTGGGAGTAGGCCCCCCCTAAACCCCCCAAAATTGCTCAGAATTCCGACTTTTCCGCGAATTTTCCCATTTTTCTCGAAAAGCCTCGATTTTAGGGCAAAACTCCACATAACCATTCTGAAAGCTCGTGAAATTTTGGTGTAGAAAAGCTATGTTTGGCTTTGACCAGGACCCACGGGTCCCCAAAATGAGGGGGGGCTTAAAATGTCAAAATATCTCAGATTTCCGCGAAAATGACCGTTTCGCCGCGATTTCTCGCCAATAACGCGAAGAAGGTTGGTATTATCGTAAAATTGTTTACCCCTAAAATAAAAGAGCATTAATTTTTCATTCGAAAGGCGGCCTAACCCCTCGTGGGGGGGGAGGGGGGCCCCCCAGCAGTACCCACCCTATAAAAACCGTCAAGATCGGCCGCTTCCTTGAGGTAGCGTTATGCGCAAAAATGGGCGATAAAATGAAAACAAGTAGCGTTTGTTCTGAGAGAACATCAATGTGGATTCTTGTGGGGGGTGACAGGGGGGGAGGGAGGTACATTCTCCTCCCTCCCCCTTCCCAAAAAAAAATCACGAAAAACGTTAATTAAACGCGAAAATTCCACTATATAAGACGACTTTCAGGGCCTGTCATTGACACGCTTACACTAACATAATTTAACGAGGGGGGAGGGGAGAGGGGTTTACCCTCCTCCCTCCTCTTCCACCTCCCTTCCCCTCCCCCAAAAAAATAATCACGAAAAAATTTAAATAAACGCGAAAATTCCATACTCTAAAAGGCGACTTTCAGGGCGTGTCATTGTCACGCTCACACTAATATAATTAAATGAGGGGAGGGAGGGAGGTGTTAGACATCTTAGGCTCCCCAGCCAACATTACAAAAGGGTGGGGGAGGGGTAAATCATGGACGTTACTTACTTAATAATAGGAGGGATGGGGAAACCTAGCTGCAGTAGGAGAATTTTAAGATTTGAGGGGATACGTAATTAAATCAGGGAACGTAGAGATACTGCAATCAGAGTTCACTGCAGTATCCGTCTGTGACCAAATGAATGATTGAATACTTCGGCAAACGATCCAATACACTTTGAGCCTATTCTCCAAACGTTTCAAAAATGTCAACATAAGCTTAAGAATGTACATTTCCGTCAATTATGAATAAACTCCCCTCAGTTTCAGTCATTTCCAAAAAATAAAACAGTATCCCTCCGTTCCCTGATTTAATTACGTATCCCTTCAAATCTTAAAATTCTCTTACTGCAGCTAGGTTTCCCCGTCCCTCCTATTACCGAGTAAGTAACGTTTATGAATTACCCCTCCCCTACCCTTTTGTAATGTTGGCTGGGGAGCCTAAGATGTCTAACACCTCCCCCCCCCCTCATTAAATTATATTAGTGTGAGCATGACAATGACACGCCCTGAAAGTCGCCTTATAGAGTATGGAATTTTCGCGTTTATTTAAATTTTTTCTTGATTATTTTTATTATTTAAGGGTTTACCCTTCTCCCTCTTCTTCCACCCTTCTCCCCCTCCTCCAAAAAAATAATCACGAAAAAATTTAAATAAACGCGAAAATTCCATACTCTATAAGGCGACTTTCAGGGCGTGTCATTGTCATGCTCACACTAATATAATTTAATGAGGGGGGGGGGAGGTGTTAGACATCTTAGGCTCCCCAGCCAACATTACAAAAGGGTAGGGGAGGGGTAATTCATAAACGTTACTTACTCGGTAATAGGAGGGACGGGGAAACCTAGCTGCAGTAAGAGAATTTTAAGATTTGAAGGGATACGTAATTAAATCAGGGAACGGAGGGATACTGTTTTATTTTTTGGAAATGACTGAAACTGAGGGGAGTTTATTCATAATTGACGGAAATGTACATTCTTAAGCTTATGTTGACATTTTTGAAACGTTTGGAGAATAGGCTCAAAGTGTATTGGATCGTTTGCCAAAGTATTCAATCATTCATTTGGTCACAGACAGAAACTGCAGTGATAAATTTATCAAAAACATTCAGCGATTATGGGGGGGATTAAGGGATTCTTTTTCACGAAAGGACCCCCAAACAAAATACCCCGTGGTTTGAAAAGTAATTTAGGCAAGTGTTAAAACAAGAACCAACTTATCGATCTATTCTTAACTGAATGGAACCGAAAAGTCGTCTTATAAAGTGGAATTTTCGCGTTTAATTAACGTTTTTCGTGATTATTTTTATGGGGGAGGGGGAGGGGGGGGGAAGAGAATGTACCTCCCTCCCCCCCTGTCATCCCCCACAAGAATCCACATTGATGTTCTCTCAGAACAAACGCTACTTGTTTTCATTTTATCGCCCATTTTTGCGCATAACGCTACCTCAAGGAAGCGGCCGATCTTGACGGTTTTTATAGGGTGGGTACTGCTGGGGGGCCCCCCTCCCACCCACGAGAGGTTAGGCCGCCTCTCGAATGAAAAATTAATGCTCTTTTATTTTAGGGGTAAACAATTTTACGATAATACCAACCTTCTTCGCGTTATTGGCGAGAAATCGCGGCGAAACGGTCATTTTCGCGGAAATCTGAGATATTTTATCATTTTAAGCCCCCCCCCCCCATTTTGGGGACCCGTGGGTCCTGGTCAAAGCCAAACAAAACTTTTCTAAACCAAAATTTCACGAGCTTTCAGAGGGGTTATTTGGAGTTTTGCCCTAAAATCGAGCCTTTTCGAGAAAAATGGGAAAATTCGCGGAAAAGTCGGAATTCTGAGCAATTTTGGGGGGTTTAAGGGGGGCCTACTCCCCCCCCCCACTAGGATAAAATTCGCGTAAACAAGAAAAATCTTATTCTACAAGTTGAGAGCTTCAAGAAAATCACCATCTTCAAAATTCCCACGGGGGGGGGGGGGGGTAGGGAGGGTTACCCCTTGCTGGCCCAGGACCTACTAGAGGAACTACATTTGACCCTTAACACTGTTGCAAAAAATACTCCAATACGGATAAATTAGTATATTTTTCATTTTATGTTTGTGTAATATTGAAAACAGATTGAAGGGTCGAGCATGTCTTGTGGACTATAACAAGCACTGTCTGTTTCTTCCTAACAAATACCTAGTGAGGCAGAGTTATTTTTTTAACTTCAGAAAACTATTTTTGAGTTTCAAGAGGAAAGCTGCTAAATGCAATCATTTTGGTATGCATTGCTTCACGAAACTGGCTAAGTCATTGCATTCGTTTTGCCTCCTAGAAGGTATTACATACTTGAAATTAAATCGACAAAATCCTTTTAACTTCACAAAACTCTATCATATGGTAATGCAATATTTTGCTGTAAGCTCTTGTTACACAGACAACTCCATTACTTCTTTCATCAGTTTCTAGGAAGTTCCAAACTTTGGAAATAAGCGGGACATTACCTAACTGACTGTATCTGATCTAAAGAACAGTCATCACAAGAAAAAATTGAGAATCATTTTGCCTGTGCCTATCTATACGTCTATCCCTATCCTTATGCCTCCATACTTAATGCTCTATTTTTGAAAACTTAAAACTAAAACTTGAGGGAAAGCACAGAATCGACAAATTCCCTACAATCAAAGAAGCATTATCTGATGGATGGATTTAATACTTTTTAACAAAGCAAAATTATTATAAAAATTGCAACAGTTGAAAGCCTCACAATAAAAAAGAGGAAAACCCGAGCTCAGTGTTTCTTTTGACAGTAAGGGGAAGTTTGAGACAAACCTTTGTATTTGTGAGCGTAGTGTACTTGTAAGATGAGATATTGAATTGGCGAATCCCCTCCGACTAGAAATCCAACTCCTTCTGGCAAATTGAACGGTGGAGCATCTCGTGCCCATGCATAAATAATCTATAACAAAGAAAACTAACGATGAAAAAAACCTTGTAATTTACCTATACCATATCAAAATAAAAAAAAAGAGAACATGATATATGTCTATAATTTTGTTTTTTCTTTCTTGCAAACGATTCAATAATTCGTCGCCTTCACGACGAAGGGGCGTACCATCAAAATTGGACATTTTGAGCTATGCATGGATCCTTCTGCACCTCAAACTCCTTCTTCCATTGAGCCTTCTTTGAAAGCTCAACTCTCAATATTAGTTGAGTTATTACGTAAAAACAAAAAGGTGTACCGTAAGATAGACCTTTTCTGAATTCAGCAAACGTGCGCATCATAAGGCAAACGCGAGGGTTTCGGTGATACGCCGCTTTGCGCGCTTTGATTCAATGATATCAGGGCTGCTAGGCATAATTTTACAGATTCAGTAAGATATTTAAAATCCTGATCTTTTTTCCGTTCTGAGAGCGAAAAAAAAATTCGGATACGTTAATTAGGGACCTAGCAGTGAAGGAGTTGTGTTCTCCAAAATCTTATTTTTCCTCTCCTGAAAAGTAATCAAAATCTTGATACGCACCTTTGTCGTGAAGGCGACGAATTATTCAATTATACAGCTATTACTTCGGAATTACAAGCTTGGTCCCACCTGGTTCACATAGCAAAGATTTGTCACCAGATAAAAGCATAAGTACTTGAGAGGGTTATGATAACTGTATAAAATTACAATTTAAAACTTAGAACTCATTTTTAACAGTTAATTTACCTACCTACTACCTACTTGTAAAACGACACACAAAGAGAGATCCGGAAAAAGGTGGTGGTGGTGGGGGTTTTAGGCAATTTTTTAGTAAGGAGAAAGTAGAAGCAGAATAAAGCATAATAATGTAATACCTCTGAACCAGATTTACAAGGGTTGAACGCCGGTAAACCATCTAAAGTTGATGACATTTCTCCACAGTTCCTAAGGAGAGAAATAAGAAAATGATAGAGAAAGATAAGAAAATTTGATAAAACTCAAAAATGCAAGGGAGAGGGAGGATTGAATCCCAACTGCAATAGTTTGCAATAGTGTGAAAACATTCATTTCGACGGAGTAAGTCGGCAATCACATAACTCGTTTGCAGAGTCTGAAAATCTTTGTCTCTGTTATTTATTTAAAGGAGAACAAATTGATATCATTCCTTGAAGTTTTTGCAGAATTTTCGTCGCACAGAGATGAAAAATCATGGCAGTTTTAAAGAATTGCCGTTGAGTAGTCCTCCGTTTAAAAAATAAAGTATGATAGGAAGTCTGCGACGTCGCAAACCAAGTTATGTGAATGCCGACTTACACCGTCGATTTAAATTAGTCCCCGGGGTACGATCCGAAAACAGTAAAAACCCTGCACTGTTTCATTGGAAATTACCACTTTCAAGGATCATTCTTTATTTGGTCATAAGAAGTTCTCTTGGCAAAGGAAGCACTCTGGGGTCCGTGCAGGAACCGGGATGGCGGCCGGTAAAGATGACCGGCGAGCGTTTTTCGGCGTGCCGAAAGTACGTGTCCAATTTTCGTTCATTTGGTCTCATTTTAAAGCTAGAGTAATTCTGAAGAGGTCTAACTCACGGATTTTTTCGCTTAGGGCACACACACATAAATAGTCGATAGGAAAAGTTCAAAAATTTAAAATTACACACAAATTTCAAGATCGAGTAATAATGTAACATGCGAGAATATGGCTTTTTTACCCGGAGTAGCGTTGATGGGAAATTATCTCACATGGGATTTGATACCAAAACCATTTCTAGGCGTTAAATGATGCACCCGCTAAAGCAATTTATGTGAAGCGTTGCGGTACGCGGCGTAATGGTGGCAACTAACGTGCTATGCAAGTCATACGCGCGCTATACATATTTCGACAAATTCTTGTCCGATTTTCATTTTATTGGGCTTGTTAAAAAGCTACGTTTTAAGCTGACTTCTTAAGCTGATATATTTACGGTTTTTTTTTTTTTTTAAATTTCATCCTGATATGCCTCAAATGAATCGAAAATTTTCAAACCAACATTTATGACAACTAATACTTTTTAATTGGGTGATGGGACAAACTTTCCCCCGTGTTTTAAAGAAAGATCATTCTCTGACGTTGAAAATGATACCGTAACCATTTATGGCAATGATAAATAGATCCATGAGCGCAATTTTAAGCGCACCCCCGTAGCGAACACATTCCGTTGGTAGGCGCTTTGACCCAATTCACCGCGCCTTTTACTACCTAAGTGGCTGCGACCTTAAGTGATTTCACGGATCCTAAAATAGATATTCGATAAATCGCGAATTACGAAGGGTACCTCACTACCTCACCTCCAATAAAACATAATTTTTATACCAGAATTTATTTTTGTATCTCACAGTTTGCATATCCAGAGGGAAAAACGGGCAGAAGTACGGTGCAAATCATCATGAAAGCTATCCTCGACCGGATCCTTGATCGGTCTTTTTTGACCTTACGGTATTTGTTGACAGGTATAGGACACAAATAAGAATGGTTTGAACGCTTAACTTGCCATGATATATAGACAAAACGCTGAAGGTAATTGAGAAAATTATATATACCGTGATAAAACGGGATCCTCAATTTGCTCCAAAGCCTCCCTTCTGAGAAGAGGGGGTTGTCTGGAACTTGACCCTTAAACGACCAAAAGGGGCAACATTACAAAAGAATGACTTAACGCGATTCTACTGAAAGTTTTCGTGAGCGAGAGAAATTCGCCGACCGAGACCGTGTAACTATTATGGTTATAAGATAGGATAGGAAGGGAGGATAGAATTGTAAAAAAATACAGATCTATAACTGCTTGCCCGCAGATTCTCAGAGGAGATAGGAAGACTGTGGCTACAAAAAAAGAAAAGAAAAAAAAAGATAATAGCCCCCTCTTCTCAGAAGGGAGGCTTTGATGAGAAGAAAAAAAGAGAGAGAGGAAGAAAAGGATGATAGACAAGGGCAGACTGGCCAGACCAGTCGAGATACGGACAGACCGTAACTCTTTCCCTTGTCTGACGAAAAATAATGAAACAACCCCTAGGGTTAACAGGGCAGACCAGTCAAGACACGGCTAGACCGTGCCTCTTGCACTAAGGAAAGGTAGATAGACAAAGAGGAGGGTTGAAAGAGCTGATTGGCCGCAACAATCAAGACAAACGGCCAGACCGCGCCTCTTGCTCTATCAGCAGAAAAAAGAATGGAATACGGACGAAACAAAGGTGAAAAATGAGACATGGAGAGCTAATAAAAAAAAAAAATGACAAAAACAATGAATATTAAAAAAATGAAAACTAGCTTGGTGGAAGTCTAAAAGAATTGTATTGATAAAAAAAATTAAGACCCTTAATCAAAAGGAAAAAACTGAAGAGAAATAACAAAGCATACGGAGAAAAGAAAGGGAAGGGGCTAATTGAAGGAGAAAAAACTAACCATTCAAACGAGATAAAGACTCTTCAGAAAAAGTAAAAATTAAAAAATGAAATAACCGACGTATCCGACTTGACTAACAAAACAACAGAACTAATCTAACTCCGACCACAGCGAAGTCTCTTGCAGATCTGAATTGGCCGTGGCGACCAGGAAGCTATGTTGTCTCTGGAGCGCCTCGGGACAGTGGGGGGAGGGGAGGCTGCAACAGCAGACCGTCTCTGCCGCTAGAAAAACAAGTGTTTTCTAGCGGAAAGAGGACGGGCGCAATCCTGCCTCTCGCTCTGTGCCAAATTGCTACAGAAACTCACTAGTGGATTTACCTGATCACCACAAAACCATGGCCACATTATTGCTTTAATTATCTCAATATACTCGTGGAAAAGATTGAAGGAAAATTGTAAGGATAAAAGATGAAAAAAACAGAAAGACATATAAGTACATAGAACTGCAGCAGCAGGGACGATGCTGCGCAGATGAAGGTAATAAGGTGCACTCTTGGTGCGTCTTAGAAGATGAATTTGAAGTGAGATAGATTGCAACTCCAGTCATACCTCGTTATGACATTTCCAAAGGAGAATGTTGTTTCTAGAGAAGCGTTATTTCCAACACCTCTATGATGAAAAAGGACTCGCCAGGACTGGAAAAACGTCATTCTTAGAGACATTGTAGAAAGAAGTGACAACACAGGGTAAAATTTTTGCTGCTGCATCGGCGTGTTGCACTGCTTCTTTCATTGCAATTTGTTTAGTAAAATGGACCACATGACAGGGTACACATTTAAGCATTATGATAAATGTTTTCTCATCGCAATTTCAAGTAAAACACAATTTAAGCGATAAAAATTATTGGAAGCAACTCCTAGCCAAAACACTAAAGTTTTTTGATGCATCAAGTTAGATTTCCTGCATCATAAAACCATAACGTACTTGATTTAAAACGCACATTAACATTACCATGTTAGTCTCTGCAGTTTAAAATTATGGTATCCTCAATTGCAAGATTCGGCTCAGCTGTTGCAGTTGGTCAATGCTATGAAAAACAGGGGCTAGGGAAGAAACACTGCACAATGAAAAAGCCTGTCAAGTCGGTTGTAGTGCGTGATTTGATTCAAGTGGACTCTGTTTCTTTTGTGAGCAGGAAATTCAAAAATTTCGTGACCAGTGCACTATGGGCCAAATCGTGTCCGTAGCAGCGCGAAATTCAATTTTTTGACATTTTTTCGGTAACAGAGGCATCTTAATCGATGCTCAGATACCTACTGATAACGAAGTTACATCGGAATATCTAAAATATTCATTATATCCGCAGTTCCCATGAGGATAGATATGCAGCATGTGGGATGTGATGGACCCAGATTTCTACAACCTGAGGCGCGCGTTGTATACTCACTTATTTTGCAGTGCACTCGTGAACTTGACACCATTCTTTGCATCCGACTGGTAAACTCCATTGTATGACAAGTATCATCGCTTTTGCGGATCCCAAAAATATTGATTTTTAGCAGCAGGGCATGAGATCAAAGTTGCCCGAAATATAAGCCTTAAAAAATAAATTTTTCAGAATATTGTAGACTGGGAAAGTGTCATTACGGTTTGTTGCACAACTCCAGGTTTTTGAGATGAACTCCAATTTCCGCGAAAATCAGATGTAGAGGTTTAAAGGAACCACTGTACACAGTAAAGCGGTCAATGAAATATTTCAATACAAATTCATGTGTAAAGGATTTTAAAGGTTTCTAATAGCATTTCTCGCTCTTTCGATACTTTAGGGTCGAAGGAGGGAGAGGGGGAGGCCGACCAAAATCAGACAGTCAAAAATTCGTCATGTTCAACAATTTTCTTGAGCTCAGTAAATAATGATGATCTTTTTACATCTGTTCACGGATGCAGCCCAGATAGGACTGGTTTAAACCAATTTGGTGATGAATATGAAAATTCTACCATCACATAGCACCTAAGTTTAGAGTAAGTTGACCGTTGCTGACACCAATATAACAGATGAAATGTCAATTTCACTGTTGAGCTGTAATTTATGCAATCTTGCGTGCTCAAGGGTGATAACTTAGAGGTGAAGGAGGAATCAATATCGAATTCTGCTAATTCTATCAAATATTAATGTTGGCATGAAAGTAACGCAATATCAAGAACCGACTCGTACACAGCTCAGCATGGTTCGTCTCAGAGGGAGGTAAACGAAACTGTGTTGCCCACTCAAAATTCTTTCAGGATCTTGAAGTGAGATGCGTACACAGTCATTTAAGCCTAAAATGGAAATATTCTGTCGAGCTCTTCGAAAATAAAAACGATTTTTGTGTTTTCGGCGCTAGAATGGCCTTCAAAGACAATCAACGATTCAATTCCAATGGGATGTGCATACAGGATGTCCCAATGGTCCCTTCCACCCCCTCTAAAATTTTACCTAATTAATACTTTGAAACGAAACTTTGGGGATGTTCATCGATTAATGTTAGCTACTTTTGGGACCCCCCAAAAAAACCCCGGACCCCA